ACACATATATCACGATCTCAAATGGAAGTCTCCTGATGAAATGCGACTGTTATGTTTATCTATAAACACCTGCCTCTGCTAGGGTCTACCTGAAATAGGGTAGCCTTTTTTCTCAGATATACTGAGTCAGTTGTGTAAACAGAGGAATCTGCGAAACATGTGCGTGGTTCTGTGAAGTCTTTATTCACAGATAGTTTTACAATAATGTCAATACTATTGTTATTTGCATTTCCTTAATACGAACATTTTTAACTGCACAAGAAGTGTACGTTTAGGTCGTTACAACAAGCATTTTTGTGAAGATGAAAATTGACTGTTGCCGACAAAACATCTATGTATTGGAACACCTGGTTTTCAAAATTCCTTCTCGCGATGAGTAAAGTGAAGTTTTTCCATAAAAGTGAGATTCGTCCGTAATCGTCAATCGACAATGATGAATAAACATGCACCGCTGGCCCTGCACACACTAACGTATCATCTCCTAATACTAGTAATAAAGAAATTGAATGAAGCAAATACGTCTTCTGTTTCTTCTTCTATCTTTTCTAATCGTTTACCTCTTCTATTCTCTTCATGAGAAAAAAATTTGTTTAAGAAAAATACGATTTTTCATTGTCCAGTGAAAATTTGTTCAAGAAAATTATTTTTTCGTACCTGAAGATGTTATTCAGTGACTGTTGTAAATAAATGTCTTAGCTACTCTGCATCCTTTTGTGCTATACTTCAGATAAAACAAATAAATATCAGTGTGACATAATTTTTTAAATATTTTTTTCTGGATGCCTGAAACACGACACGAATCAACTCACCCTTTTCAGTGTACACCCATACAACTTTTCAAGAAAGGTTAGGACAGGGTTAACAGACATATTTTTCGAATAAGTTCAGTGCCTAGTATTGCAGAACAATAAGAGTTTATGCTTCCACAAAGATGCCTTCAATGTGAGTACTGAAAGACATTTTTTTCGCTTCGCAACGTCTTATGGAAAGGGACAATTCATCGTAGGGAGGAGGGCAACTATAATATCGTAGAAAAATGCTAGCCTTCAATCCTGGCAGGAGCCTATTAATTTACCCAGGAAGTTGTTTAAGTGGGTTGATCATAAAGTGAAGAACATTATCTTTATATTTTTAGTAACGGTGAACAATACTTAGAAATAGGACTATTGGAAAAAAGATATAATACAAAACACAGCAAATACAGTTTCATTTTTTTATTAAAAGGCGAATTAACGATATTTTCTGTACAGTGAAGTAAAAGAAATATCAAAGTAATTAACTGTATCACATACTCTTATTCGTATACGAAATATTCCATCAGTTTAATACTAAATTGAATCAGTTTGACACTTTTCAATTTTAATTTAATCCGCTATGAAAGTCGTCTCTGTCACATAGTAAGATGTGAAGGAATACTTCTGTCTACAGCTCTGTGAAAATATATTGATGTCAATCGTCTACTGACAATTGTAAGCGTGCATGACGCGTGACGCTCTAGCAGACGCTACAGCAAAATAGCCAGTAGACATTTATATTACATTTAATTTCTCACAATACGTTAGGTCGTCTACTTTGTAACTTGCTACACGTATGTAGAACTTTTTAAGGATTACAATGGCATTTGTTTCGAATTTTTAAACTGTCGAGTTTGTGAAGAGATTAACAAAATAAAATAGGTCAAAAATTATTTTTTAAATATATAGATAATATGTAATAATATGATATGTAATATATAGATGATATATAATATATGATGTATATTAATTATACACATCATATGAAACACCATCTTTTGTTCTAAAAAATCGCGAAATATTAAATTTCCGTCAAATCACACCCTTTTCCATTAGCAATACGCTGATAGACTTGAAGCATTTATGTGAATATTACATATGCATTAAGAGCAACAATATCAATCATGTTATAAAATAACTTCATTGTATCTCGACATGTTTCCCTTCACGATGTGTAGACATCGATTAATTGATCCATAAGCTCTACTCCTAACTTTTGTTTGCAGCATTCAAGAATGATCTTATTTTGACATGATATTTTTGGTCCAGATGCATTATGTTAGGAAGATAAATGATTTAGTTCTCTTTGGGCTCGTGTGATGCAATAATTGTAATATTTCCATGGAGTTTACAAATATTAAAAAATGATCTTCTGCTTTTATTATCTCGCAGTTTAGAAAGTATTTCTCACTTGTTAGCTCGCAGTCTACCAAGAAATGTTATTTTCATCTCCTTATAAATTTGACCAGGTGTGCGGGCAAAAAAATCAGTTGTTTGTTGTAACTTTCACTGAATATTGGCTGCACTAATTTCTTTATTATTGATTGATTAGTGATTCCGGGCGCTACTGCTAAGATCATTAGCCCCGAGAGTGTAGTACATGTTTTATCGCGGGAAGTGGCGGTGATCTCCCCCGCTGGCTGGTGAGATCCGGCGCTGAGCTACGTCGGTTTACAGGGTTTCCCCCCCCACCCCACCCCCCAATAAAATATCTTCCACCAGCGTGGTATCGCCCTAGATGGGATCATGTCTAATACTGAGCTCACGACTGGTCTCCCCACATGTATGATAGTGTAGTGTATGTGAGTATAATTGTGTGTAAATAAGAGGGTGAGGATATGACAAGAAAGAGGAAGGAAAGATCGCGCCCGTTCCGTGACCCATTCGGGTCCAGCATTCGCCTGGTGTTGATAGGAGAAACCAAAGGAAACTTCCAATCAGAGCAGCCAGCGGCTAGGATTCTCCTCCAGAAATCGGCTGAATGTGACCTAGCTGACAATCTAGAGTCGAAAATCCCGCCACCGTCGAAACTCGAATAGTGTGACCTCCCTGTCAGACGCACTGCATTGACATCAGTTGGTGCTCTGAGCCACCTTTATTAATGTTTTTGATGTCAAATATTTAGAAACAGGTTTATTCCTCCTTTTTCCACAGTATATTTTGTAGCATAATGCAAATCCATTCACTAAATCACAGCAGCAAAACATTTTTCATTTGTGTGGCCGTGATTTGTGCTACTTTGCGCAAGACGAGTAATGAAAGAAGCTTGGAATGATTGTGTATAAATTCCAACAACTCAAATGCGCTTCTCACGCTTTCAAAAAGCTGTCAAGAGGAAACAGACTACCGGGCCTTAGAGGCCCACGACAATCTACAGAAAAGATTAAAAATATGGAAAAATCTCGTGACTTTCTGGACAGTCCTTTGTCATATGATAAGAAACATATCGACAGAGAGTATAATAGAAGGACGCACCTGCAATGTGAACGGGAAAATATTTACAGCAAAAAGAAAAACCACTGGGCCTCTGGGGCCCAATGATTGCACTGAAGGGTAAAAGAACTGAAATCACCACTTCACATTACTAGTATAAAAAATCACATCATTTACGGTAACGTATGGAACGTTCTCATGTTACGAGTCGAAATCTACACAAATCTCTAATCAATTACACACGTCCGCTGATATCCCTTCGGGTCACCATACATCAATCCCTAACGTCTATTGTTGAACATGGTGTTGCATAACAATTACCAATGTTCCCAAGACAGCCTCGACCTATCACATATTCGCAAATTGGAAAGGTGTAAGACCTCAATAAATAGAGCAGGCGTGATAATTGAAGGATTAATTTTGAACTGATTGCTAGAAATGAACAAAAAAATTCAATATTAATTTTTATTGCAATACAACTTTTATTTCAAACATATCGTTCGCAGAAAATAAACTCCATAACCATACAAATAACGTAAAGCAGTAAAACGTTTAAAAATGTATGCAAAGAAACCCGATCTGTTTTACTTAGTTTTTCCACGTCGCCACACAAGAAACACCCAGTCTTTCGCAGAGCAAGCTTCCGCCAGCGAGAACGTCGCCGTATGCAGCAGCTTTCCTTCCACCCAGCGCGAGAGTGGCGGCGCACGGCGGCGGCGTGGCGAAGCTCCACCAGATTGCTCGCGGCGAGGATTAGCGCCGCGTGGTGGCGGGTGTGAGGACGGGGGCGCGGGGGCGAGGCGTGGGCGGCGCCGGCAACCCGCAGACTTCCTGCGACGACGCCAGCCGTTTCTTTACGACCTCTCCGCGGCGCGGCTGAAATAACCGACCGCGCATTCACACGCCTTCCGTAATCTAATTTACGGCTTTATACGTGTATCCCTGGCGCGCAGGCGAAACGCGCTCTTTCGCCCCGAACTCGGCAAGAAACAAAAGGTTCCCTCATAACGCGCCCCTCCCTTTC